TTTATTTATTATCCATATATTCATTTATTTATTATCCATATATTCATTTATTTATTATCCATATATTCATTTATTTATTATCCATATATTCATTTTCATTGATTCGGTATGAACACGTTCTGAGAATAAAGAGGAAAAAACAGTTGTATCGTTTGGAAAGTAAAGTAAACACATTTAATGCCGTGTAGCGCACAGTGTGGATGATTGTTCTTCTTTTATGTTTAATTAAATTAATAACCATAACCTACTGCTTCCATTTCTGAAGTTTAAGATTTTCTTCAAATAAAAAAATCTTTAGAACATACAAATTTAATTCAGTTCAATTTTATGTATATAGTGCAAAATCACAACAATAGTCAACTCAAATTGCTTTATATTGTAAGCTCAAGACCACACATTAATACAGCCAAACCTCAACAATTATATAACCCCCTATGAGCAAGCACTATGGCAACAGTAGGAACTAACCTCCAGCTGAACCAGGGTCAGGGAGGCGGCCATCTGTCGTGACAGGTTGGGGCTGAGAAGAGGAAGATATAGGACCAAGGCAGGCTGGAAGAGAGCCAGAGATTAATAATAACGAATAATTAAATGCAGAGAGGTCTATACTGAGTGAAGAGGAAGCACACTAAGATAGGAGTCGGTGTTACCTTACTATAACTATAACATTGTTAATAAAGGCTCATTGGGTTTTGAATTAAAGTTTAGCAAACAGTTATTTTACTGTTTTATAAATGATGAAATCATCTTTAGTGAGGTTTTAAAGATTGTATTAAACTTCATGTAAATCGTTATTTTATGAGTTAAACTACATTAGAAAATACAACGTATCACCTGATCAGAGTTGATAGTTATCTTCTGATAAGATCTGCACAGGTTTTCTGCTATTTCATCAAAGGTTTGTACATTAATATAAATGTGTGGTTGAATAAGATCTCATCAGTGAACATTTCACCACCTGCAGTGTTGCTGTTTACTACCTTCAAACTCAGCATTGTTTATGATCCAGTAAGAGTTATGTTTGTGATATAGACTGATGGTATAGACAGATTTACTGTGTGCTGTAGAGTTAAACAGTTACACTTTGACCTTTAACCTCTCTGCTCTGTGTTGTTTCCTCCTTCAGGGCAGAAAATCCCAGCTGACTCAGGACAGGACGTCACTCTGACATGTCGAGTTCCAAACAACAACATCTTAACGGTCGAGTGGAGCAGAGCTGACCTGGAGCCAAAATATGTTTATGTGCACCGGGATGGGCGCTTTGATCCAGACAACCAGCATCCATCTTTTAAGAACCGGGTGGATCTGCAGGACAGACAGATGAAGGATGGAGACGTGTCTCTGATTCTGAAG